GAATATTCCCTGCTGGGAGCACTATCAGGCGAGAGCTAGCCCAAGCGTGGCTGCTGCAAGATTGCTGCTGTCTGGACTCTTTCACCAGAGTCCCTCAGTGCCCAGAGCTGGACTATGCTGCTGGTTTGCATCTTCAGAGTGCCCCGTCCTCCTCTCTCAGAGACTCATCCCCAGATGCTAGGAGGTGAGCCCTTTTTCTCACCTTTCCAGAGCCAAAATGGGATGTCAAAAAAAAAAAAAACCAGGAAACAAAAGAGCAGCTTCAATTCTGTAGGCCCCGCAAAAGGGCTGTGCCTGTGCTCCTGTGGCCCTGACATGCAGAGGGGAGCAGGGGCTTGCAGAGCAGAGGGATTCATCCAGGGGATAGGATGCTGGACTATCCTGTCAATGGGACATGTTGTGACTGGGACCAGTGGGAAGAGCAGGCTGTGGGAAGGCTATTACTCTGATGGCTGATAAAGTGCGAACCCAAGATGGAAGTGATGTGGAGGAGGAACTAACACTGCTGAGTAAGTTTAATTTGCAATTTAATAAATTAAGTAAAATATAATACATTTAATATAGTCAACCGTAATGACAAGTGCAGGGTCTACCTACCCTAACCTGGCAACCAGAAGAGACATCTGTGCCTGAATGAGCCTCGTGGACTACATTTATTCTCCAAGGATGGGCTGGCACCTCTGGAAAAGGATTTATTTGAGCTATGAGGCAGTGCTGACAACCTGAAAGGAACAGCCCTATGAAAGTACTGATCCTGTTGATGACTAGAGGGAGCTCAGGGAGACTGAGCTTTGGATGTGTAACACTCCTAATCTAGCATGCCTATTACTGTCCTTGGAGAGGTGGTTGCAACTGAAATGATATCATTTGACCCCATCCTGTCCATCCCACAGATGAAGGCCGTAAAGTCTGAAGACCATGTGACTGCTTCCTACCTGCATGAAGCTCACTGGGTTTTAGATGGTAGATTCTTTGGAACATGAGGGTAATTACTGGCTCCTGGAAATTACTGTACAATTACACTTAATGGACCTCAAAGTAATTGCTATGTAACCTGGATTGTGGTTTAGAGAACAGAAATAACCATTCATTTACACAGCAATGAGCTGCTGCCCAATTACCTCATAATTCTCAACCTCTGGGCCCAGGCATGGTAATTAAGTTATGATCTCTCTTGACCCCCCTCTCTCTGGTAATTACCTAGTGCCTTTCCTTTACCAGTGTCCATATGTGGGAATGTCTCTACAGCACTATCTTGGCTTTGCCCCGATGGGTATTTACCAATTAAATCACCTCAGGTAGTCTCTCCAAATGGCTCTTCCCTTAGGTCCTCCTGAACTCCATGTGTCTATGACTTATTCTATATCTTTCTTCTGGCCTTGTCCCCTAGCTAGTCACTCCCCAGTAAATATTCTCTAGGACATGAAGTTGGCCTGGGTGGGTTTTATCTTGTGTACCCTTATCAGACCTGGTTGACTGGATTCCCTCTGCAGCCCAGGGGGAGAGGCAGGCCCTGCTATGGCGCCCTGCTATGGTGTGGTCTCCCCACACCAAAAGCTCTTTTCTCTCCTCCTGTTACAAAGGGAGTCTGGATGCCTACATTGTATGTGTAGATTTGAGGAAATGAATCCCGCTCCTGTAGGACATACACCTCATGTGAAGGGATCTGGAAAGGATCCAAATAGCCTAATAAGTCTACGTGCTGGCAATCAGCAGGAGAGGATCAAAGGCCCAAGCCACAAGCTCTGCCTCACAGCCTAGTTCAACCTGCAATGTGATGGCAGAGGCCCAGTGCACAAAAAAGCTGCTGTGTGTGTCCCCAAGGCCTAGGAGTGAAACGGGAGTGACAAATCCCCTCCTCCAGCCAGCTCACATCTATTAGATATGAGAGCTCCCCTCCTTCATAAAAGAGGTTACTTTGATGCACTTAGTTTTGATCTGGGTCCAGGCAGATCAAGGTTCTTTCCGTGTCTTCTCTGCTTGAGTCCAAAATGAGCTGTCTCAGAAGAAACAACCTGACATATGACTACTCCTGCTTCTCACTATTTGCAAGGTGCACATAGCTTGTTACCTGCTATTTGTATGTTCTTAGCCCATTTCTCTCTATTGTACCTGTTGGGCATCCATTACTGTCAAGTCTGAATATTTCACAATTATATATACTCTATTACACTGGGGGAAGACAGGGCAAGACTGCTATAGTGCACAGTCTTTGAATTAAAGCTCAAAGACCCAAACAGGCGGATTCTTAAAGAGAAAGAGTGTTTATAAATGCAGATAGCAAACTACTGGGCTTTTTGAAAGCATCAGTCAAATCCAATTAACCTTCAGATCACTGCACTGGATAAAATCAGAGGGCATTAACAACCTAAACTGTCTGACAGTCTCAAATCTCCATCTATCTGTGTGTAAGGTGTTTAATACCTTTGAAAATTTCACCCTACAGTCTCTTTCTAAGGTTAGAATGAGATTTCACAGCAGAACAGGAAGCTGCAGAGGTCACTCAAGGCTGGGTGTGTTGGCCTGTGTGGTTTTCCTTCCCCTTGTAAAACTTCCTGTAACATAAATACAGGTGCTGGGACAACACTGTGTGATGTGCAGTGACCAGTCCTGGAGAACAGGCAGTGTGAGACTGTGATGGTCTGTGATCATGTCACTGACACCATGGGAAGCTCTCTGTGATGGCCCAGGGGGTGAGTTTCTCCTCAGCGATACCTAACGTGTTTGTGAGCAGCCAACAGATGGAAAATATTGCCCAACAAAGATGAGACTTGGCTCACCTGTGATTCACTGACAGAAAAAGTGAGCTTAAATCTGTAACCAATACTATTTACAAGGAATAATTCAACATGTTGTAATATTTGTTCCTGTCTTTCTCTAAAAATGCATTTCCTTTCCAGCTTGCTTCTCTTCCAGGCAGTCTGTTCTTTCATTAGCAGATGAACGTGTTGTTTGTATCTCGGTGTGTGTGCAAGTATGTACAGGAACAGTTCTTCCTGATGAGCACACACCTTTTCGCAGTCTGGCAGCATCTCCGGGCCTCCCTCCCCCTCTGTAATAGACAGATACAAAGAGCATTGTGTTCAGCAGATCCCTCTGGGTAAAAAAACCATCTCTGACTTCTGGCATATAGTGGGCTTGTTGGAAAGAGGAAATGCAACCAGGTGTAGTCATACTGCTCCAGTCTGGCTGCCAGTAACCCCAGTCTGTTTAGGAGAGACAATGGGCCTGTGCTGGCTCCTTCCAGTGCTTCCTGGTTATCAGTGAGGTGAGGCTCCCTCACGGAAAATAAACCCAACTGTATTCATTAACAACTCCCCTAAGTATTGCTAGCAGCCGCCTGCTCTTGATCTATGTGCCATTCATGCTGCCCTGACTTGCCTCCAAGACTGCCCTGTGCCAAGCCCTGCTGATTTCAGAGAGTTCATCTGCTTTGGAAAGGCTGAAAGAAGCCTGCAAGATGTTCTCCAAGCCTATGCTCTTCCACTCAGTGGGGCAGCCCTCCCCAAAACCCAAATCCGTGCCAACACATATGGATAGCTTCCCTGCACCTTCTCTTCTCTTCTCAGAGCTCAAGGGAGACCTTGGTCCAAGCAATGACTGAGAAACATCCGCCAACCTTCACTGAGTGGGAGCCTGTGTATATCTAGCAGTGGTGAGCTCTGCAGGAGTAGGAGGTTTCTGATCATTTTGTGAAATTCAGTCCTCGGATTGTTTTGCAGATGTCTGAGATGAGCAGGGCTACACCTGTCCCACGTACCTCTCCTTTCTGCTTGCTGTCTCACCACTGGCTTTGGCCATACTTTGCTGGTTCCAACTCCACGTTCTGATGCTTTCCTACAACTTCTATCTTTGGTACAACACAGGGAAAGCGGCAAAAAGCCAAACCTGCCAGCAGGTGACACTATCCACATTGCACTGCTGTGGCACAGTTAAGCTGCTGTGGCGATGGGGGAGCCTCTTGTTCCAAGGAGCTGGACCTGGTTCTGCTGGTGTATGAGCTGTCCCAGCACTAAAGTGGGCCCTAAGATTGGCAGAAGGAAGCCAACATAACATTACCATTTCCAACTCAACAGCACCATGCCAAAACAATAGGGAAGCCTCATGAAACTGCATGTAGGAAAAAAAACAAGGCCATGCCTTAAAGGAGAGAGTTTTGCCAATTACCAAGGCCTTTTAGAAGCAAAATCACTCAGCCAAGAGTTTCAGAAATGGTGTGCAGGAGAAATTACTATAAAGAATCACTTTCCTCACTTGTGCTCCAAGTTACCAGCTCTAGGTATCACAGTGGGATGTTGAAAGGAGCCTTGTCTGTTCTTCTAGTTAAAATGAAAACCTCTTAAAAGGTCATCCAGTCTGCTTGAGACACAATGAACTGGCTGGCTTTCCATTGTTTTTATTTCTAGAGTGAGTCTATAGCTTCATATTTGGAAGATCTTAAACAACCCTGTTGTTTACTTAGAAATAAATTGACATCAAAGGCACAGTTATTTTGGGCTTTAACTGCCAGGGTGATTTGAAGCTGACAACATGAAGCCTGGAACTATTAATATCTTCAATCTGGCCAAAAAGAGAGAGAAGGAGGAGTAAGAGTCTCAGGTCAATTTTCTGCCTGTTAGGGACTATTAGTGGTTCCACACAGGAAGCCAAAAAAAAATTATATAGTGCTATAAATTCTTCCATAAGCCACAAAACACCGCAAATTTGCAGCTAATAAACCTGAAGATGCACTAAGATTAGAAGCTGGAGATGGGACATTTGCTGACTATTTCAGTCCCATTGCAAACTCTTGCTAGTAGTTTGAGATGTCA